TTTTTCCCCATGGATGTGTGTATGTATTACAAAGCCAAAACTCTGGATGAAAGAAAAAATTAAAAAGAGTAAATACGTCAGGATCTTGTCAAAAGATACTGCAAAACTAAAGCAATTGTCAGACAAAGAGAGTGTAAAATCGTTTACGCAAACCAAATGTTGCCCTGCCCATTTTTTGTTAGGAAAAGGAAAATACTAAAGTAGCAACAGAATAGGACAAAAGCCTTAAAATAAATCTGATAATCTAGGGAAAGCTAACAAGAAGAAAATAGCCTTGCCACTTATCAAATTATAAGACATCAGGTTCATATATCACATGAAGCCATAAACCAGTCAGAGTGACATAGTTCACATAACACCAAGACATGATTTACAAAACGCAATGGAAAGTTTACACATTATACTCCATATAAAGCACATACGGGCTTACCTTTATGTGCGTACCCAGTTATTATATCTTGTCTAATTTGTTTCCTATGCTACTGCCTCATCATTGCATGGCAGGTTATATTCATGTTTGCAGAATAGTTTTTATTTTGCAGTTTTGTACTGCTGACATGAAGAGAGTTCCACTGTACAATGAAGCTGATGCTCTTGTTTTACTTCTTACTGTAAGAGACAACCCTTTATTGTAAAAGAGACAAGGAACTATTTACCTCTAATTACGTTCCTTGTGTGATAATCTGTGCCTGCACAGAGCTTGTTTCTGAACGTTGCAGAGCTAAAGTTGTTGATAGTCACTTGGCTTCTGCCCCAAAGAACCTTCTGTAGAGTTCCCCCATTTTTTAGGAGGTCTGGTGGCTGAAGTAGATAACCCTCAGAGATAAAATAATACTTCTGAGAGAGGAGAGAGATGAGGTTTATGAATTTACAGCTGACCAGTCTTAGGACCACAATCAGAATCATGATGGTCTCTTTGAAATCATTCAGATATAACTAGAAAGCAAGCTAGCTTCCTTGGTGAAGAGTCAGAAGGTACTGAAGCTCATGGAAAAGGATATCTACCCAAAAAGAAGTATTTTGTCAGGACTGAAAGTTGATACAATAGTGTCTGATGAAAGTGGAAGGCTAAGCCTTCATGGTTACCCTGCATGACTTCAGGTGTGATATTTTATAGGACCACTCAAGAAATGGGCATTGCCCTACTGGAGTATTCTTTGATCAATTTCAAACTTAACTGCTTTGCAGAGGTCAGGCTGATTGCTGACATGATTCTTTGAAGGGGCATTGAGTTGAGGCCAGATGATCTTTCTTTGGGCCTCCTAAGTGGCAAAGAGAAACTGACTGTCAAAAAGAAGCTCATATTAAGCAAGTCACCACTTTTTAGGTATTAAATACTGTATGCGCAACTTGATTTCTAAGGAGATAGATGGATGCTGAAAAAGGGTCAGAAGCATAAGTTCAGATGGTTCGGATGGAAGGCAGAAACTGATTTTGGTATGAATGAAATGTCTGGCTGCAAAACTACCTTTCCATGTGGAAAATCAGGTCTGTGTGGGGATGAGCCACTTAATTAGCTCTTTTAGCTGAACCAATCACTATAAAAAAGCTGCCTTTCCAGAAAGTGCATGCTAAGGGAAGGAAAGAAAAATGTAAAAAGGAGAGGAAGAAAATACTATGAGAGAAAAAAAAATACAAGAAAGAAGATATTTACAGAAATTATAATGCAAACCTCTGGAGAAGCTATTTCAAGATTTTCACACTATGGCAGATGAAAAGAAGTGGAAGGATATGTCAGAAACCATGTCTGTATGGGGAACTCACAGCCCAACAAAATGGGTTCATGCCAGAAACCTTCACTCTGGAATACTCCAAATAAAGCTCTCCAAAGGCACAGAATCTAATTGTGTGATTTCATAGAGAATACAGTGAAGTTGAAGAGTGCTGCATATGCTAAAACTCAGTGGAATTATTTATAAAAGTCCAGGTTCAAAAAAAGAATCTCTGCTGAAACGGGGAGTCTCACGTTCTCCCATTGCTCTGAAAAAAGTAATACTTAGAAAGTATGTATCTAAAGGCTTCCACTATCCCAATTCAAAGACTAGGGCTTGAAATGAAATGTACAAGTTGATTGCACATTTGATTGGATTCTTCAGATCCTTTCTCCTCTCTGGGCCCATTGACAACTGTAATGTGTTAATTCAGAGGAACACAATTAAAGTAAGGAGAGATTGCTATTCAGCATTAAAATGGTGTGCTGAATTTCTCTCTTGCCCCTCTGTGGATTTTATAGGGACTGAAACTTCTGTCCAGGCAGAAAATTGTGCCTCTCCATCAGAATCGATGGTTAGTCTGGTGCTCCTTGTGTACCATCTCCGTGTCCCCTGACCTTGCTTCCAAATTTTTATACAGCTTAGAAATGGGCTGTATGTCCTTTTCTAAGCATTTCCAGTATAACACAACTGAACGTATTTATCATAGTAAATACAGTATCCATCCAATTAGTCTGTTTCATCAATCAGATATTGAAAGTACCTTAGTCCTAGATAATACATTCTCTAAAGATTTCAAAACACATTCAACAGTTAACTGATTTGGTTCTCTGAAATACCTCATATCAGTATGACTCAAAATCAGAGAATTGTGTGGCCAACACTGTAAGCTGCCCTTTGTTTTGTCCTCTCACCTCAAGAGAGAATCTGCAGGCATTTGAAAATCAGCAGATGGCCAGAAGCAGTGTGCAATATGGGGCGAGTCAAAAACAATGTGTTTAAGGAAAGACGTTGAGCCCCTTTTTTCATCATCTAATTGTACAAATTAGAAGACTATATTTTGGTGCCTGCAACTTCCAAGATTGGCCCTATGGAATCCCAACATTAAATAAAAATGGAAATAAATAAATAAATAAATAAATAAATAAATGAGATTTGACATGGGATCTTTCAAGATTTAAACCAGTTTTTGAAAAAAAAAAATTTTTTTTTGGTGCCTGTGCAATCACATCAGATTGCAAAAGGGTACCTATTGCCTGAAAAGACTGTTTGGCTTGCTCTATGGGCTGCCTCCCAGAAATATTGCTTTGTTAAAACTACATTCTGATCAATGTGAGATCTTGCTCACCAAACTTCATACCCTAATAAATGTACTTTATTCATGGTCTTTGAGCTATTTTCTGATAAGTACTATTCTGCCTTGCCATTTACATTCATCTACTTTTCTAATGATGTAAGGGTTAGATACTTTAAAGAGCAGAGCACTGAACAGAATCTTCAAAGAAAAATATATCTTGGAACACATCAAGAAAGAAGGTTAATGTTCCCCACCAAATGCATTTCAAGTACACAGCAAGTTCAATATACAATTGTACCTTCCTCTTTCTGGCCTAACATATTTCAATTCAATTATCTCAATTTTAAAGTAATATTCTAAAATCTATACATCTTAGCAGAGTTTCCACCCATTAGTTTCATCACCCATCAAGATCACTGGCTGAAACTGCTATCGATAAACAGGACTGCACAGCTAAGAGACTAGCTGTTATTTTCAGAGAATTCATGGTTACCCAGTGCATACAGCTACCTGGAAAATATGATCCTATAAAAGACCTAGAAAGGGAAGAAGTCTGGAAGCAGCAAGGTAGAAAGTATGTCACTAGGCAAAAGTAGTTGTCATTTTGGATTTATGTTGTGGCCAAACAAATCTGTTCTGCCCAATTTATTGTAACAGTTCAGTCCAACACAGTAAGCCCCACTTGGTTCAGTGGGTAAAGAATTGCATGCTTGGGCACTAACTTGGCAGTAAGTACCATTGGACACAGTGGGACATAATTCTGAGCCAACATGCTAAGCTCTCCTAATTAATTAGCCTATGCCAATTGCAGACTATCTGGTGTCTTCCAAAGGTGTTAGATTACAACTGCCATAAACCACCATGGACAAAGATTTCTGGAAGTTATAACAAAAACACCTGAAGGCATGATGACACTGAATAATGAAACTCCAAAAACAGTGGCCAGTAGGTGAGTGCAGGTGATCACCATTGGCTTTGACTAGATGCCATTTGTCTCATATTGTTTCTCGTACAGTCTCCTGAAAGAGGCATCTATGCACGTGTTGCTCATGGCTGAAACCTCTTCCCTCACCTCCAGTAGTTCATTGGAAGTACCAGAAAAGATTTTTAGGCATGAGCAACACATGCACTGAAGCCTCTTCTGACTCTTGGGAAAAAAAGGAGATGGTCATCCAAGGGGTGCAAAGCAAGGCATTGTGGTAGTTTTAGTTTGCTTTTTACAAGTCTGTGTGTTGCATTGTTTCATGGAACAGCTTCAGATAGGTGCTTCACATAAAACATTGTCAGACTGAAGTAGCCCTTCAAAGCTTTGCACAGGCATAATAAAAAAAAAGTGACAGCCTCTGAGGAAGCTGCTGCCAGATATATTTTGGTTTTCTGTGTGTGGTTGTCCAATCACACCTACAACCAACTCATGTCTGTCTGTAGAGTTGCTTTGAAAATTAGAAGCTCCCTAACCCTGTACATAGAAATTTAATTTATCAATCATAACATTCCTGCCTAGTTAAGTGGCAGCCCCTAACCAAGAAAGGCTAATCTTAAAAAAAATTAAGTAGGGTAGACTTGGCTTGGACTTGGATGGGAGACTACCAGAAAATCCCGATGCTCTAGGCTACACTGAAAAATTGGGGAAAAAAATGATCCATGAAGGAGGCAACCCCACTTTCATATTACTGCCAAGAAAACTACATGAATGTGTCCATGAAGTTGCCAGGATTACAGCCCACCTCAAGGAAGATTATACTTATCCTTCTCATTGATAACATACTTGGCCAAACTCTTAGCAGAAACTACTCTGGCTCTACAATTCCCAAACCTCTAAGCCAGCATGGCCATCAGATTGCTTTATACACCAAAGACTGGCCAAAAAAAAAAAAATGTTGTCTGGGAACCTTAAGTATTGTAATCTGGAGGACACTAAATTGAAGAAAACTATGCTACATTTGAGTGAAGCTTTTGCACCCCAAAAGAAATTAAAATCAAATACTTACTGAGAGAACAAAGTCCTTGATCGAACTATGAACTTGAATACATATTCGAGAGCTTTTAGGGTTCTTAATATAGGTTCACACTGTTCTCCTCTGCTTGAAGTATCCAAGTAAGTCTTCAGAACTGCCATTAATTTCCTGAAATCAGGAAAACATGTTACACAAAGGAAAACTATCTTTGTCAAATTAGATTTCTAAGTACTGTGAAGTGGCAAATATATGTAGTACATGCTGTAACGTGGCAGATTTGATTTTATTGCTTTGTAATTCAAATACAAATATTAAAACAATTCACCCAAGAAAAGCCACAGAATGACTATTCAACATTATTATTTCTATCTATCATACAAGATGATCCTGGATGGTGGCCATAACCATTGCACAGAATAATATATATTAGAAGTACAGGATAGGGTTGGGAATTCTTTGAGCCAATCTGCATAGGACCACTAAAAATATACTTCTAGGTTTTTGTTGCATGGAGAACATTTTTGCGAGGATTAGAATGATCCATGGCAATTCAGTGTAGAAGAGATGAGACCCATGCATGTCTTCCTTTCTCTTCTACACTCTTCAAACAGGAGACCAGAAGATGATTTAGGTGTTTCCCATATTGCCTTCCCCATCAGGATTATCATAAACTTACTTGTAGGCTAAAGTTGCACTGAAATGTTGCTGTATATAAGCCTCCAGTACAGTATTGAAATGCTGAAATTTTCTATCTGCAATAAGTCCTATTACATAAATCTGTAACAGATTAACAGAATGAGAGTTTTCATATGTAAAAGATCATTTGGAAACTTAAAGAAAAAAGAAAGAGTGGAGGAGTGGTTCCTTCTTTATGGATTCCACATCTCTGAATTCAGAATATTGAAGCCATTTTAGTGCATAAGAAATTATTCATTCCTATTATAGGTTGCTTGCTTTGGCAAAGCTCTTGGAGAGAAGAACTGCAGATATTTTCACACAAGAAATAAAGAAAGAAACAAGAGCCTGTTAGCTCTGCTGTATCACACATTAAAAACCGGTGGAACTTTGACTACACTCTTGTGGCTGCCACCTTGATTTTTGGACCATACAATGCAGACAGCTATGAGGGGGGAAGCTAATTCTGTCAGTTGAGGGTCTCCACCTCAATAGATAGGGATGTAAAAGAAATCTACCCCAGCCTGCAGAGGAAATGGATAAATGCAATTGCCAAAACAGATATGGCAAAAGCCTGCATGTTGCAGCAAATTAAATATGCCGGTATTTTTCAGTTCCCAGTCCAAAATCCACACAAAAATATATTGACTTGCTAATGATCAGTCTAAAACTGAACCTTCATTTGAGAAGCAAGCATACAAACTATATCATATAGTAGTATTTGCATTTTTAAAAGTGTATATTAGAAAAAAATAATTAAGGGAAAAATGCCCATGTATTCAGTTTATGTTTAAAAGTGTATTATGGAAATGTATATGAAGTGTGCATATTGGGGAAAGTTGTATTTCAAAATTCCAAATATTTGGGGAAGCTGGAAACAACAAACAGATGTGGATTTTTCAGGGATTATTTTTATTAGCACATGGAAAGAAATTAGAACATGGAGAAAAAGAATATGTGAGATTCTATCTGACAAATGGATTAATATCTGAACATGTGAGACTCCAATATGGACTATATCCCCATATCTTGAAACACATAATTCATCACAATCATCAGTTTCTGGTTCCATATCATGCAGTGAGGCTCCCTAGATAGTTTACCCTCAATACAAGGAGGCTAATTAGAGCATGGATGAGAAATGAAGCCAGCATGCTCACTCTGATGGCATCATTCTCTCTTGCGTCTTGTTTCTAAGAAAAATGCAGAATGCTAGAGGAGAGCTTACTTGATTGAAGGAGTTGATACAGTAATCCTTACCAGAGCATCAAAGACAAGAATGTCATATGAGTCACTATGAGAATGTTCCATCATGATATTAAATAGGGCATCTAAGGTATCCTGGAGGAACTAGAGAAAGGGAAAGAGGGAATGAAAAGAACAAGCAAATATGTTAATTGGTTTGGCACCGTGACGGGATAAAAATTCTTTGAAAAATATTTTGATTTGTCTAAGCGGAAAACATCCCACCTAGCCCCAGGGACAGTGTTTCACACCTCAAAGAATTCATCCTGATAGCCCTGTCACTGGAGCTTCACAACATCTTTGAAGATTTATTTTCATCAGAGCACATTTAAGTCCAACAAGCACAGCAGAGATTATTACATTGTATTTAATGCTAAGTTTAGCATCTTAGCTGTGAATTATCAAAAGGGGACTACAGCATGGCTCCTTAACATTTCTAAAGCCTTCAGCAGTTGTTTTTTTCAGCAAGTAACTGTGAATGTTGAGTAATACTGTTCCCTGTCCAAAGTGAATTGATTTCATAACCAACTATTTTGCCCCTTAAAACACAACAATAGGAGATGATAAGTCACTCTCTCATCTCACTATCTGTCTTCTTCACCATTATCCGTATCCTAGCCAAATGGGGGAAGAAACGAGAAACCCTATCTGCCCCCATCAATTCAGTTATTTTCTTCATCTGGTTTTAAGAAGCTTCAATGGAAGGGACTAATTTGGTTGGCACCATTGTCTCAATCTGTCATATCCTTCCTCTTTCCTTGGGTCCCTCAATAGTGTTTGATTGTAATTTCCATAATATCTCCACACTGGCAGTCCTGCTGGAGATCATGAAAGTTTAAATCCAATAATATCTGGGAACCTAAGATGGGGAACAGCTGCATTATTCTAAAGGGCACTAATATACATACTGGGTATACTTGAATATGCTGCGTGGAAAAACAGGTGTCATAAGTACTCCTTAGGAACTCTAATATTCCTATTGCCTTTTTCAAAGTTCATGAGTGGCCCAAGCAGAATGTTTGCTTGTCTTTCCTCCCCCTTCACCAATTCCATCTCACTGCAACCCATATCATTGGATGGTTTCCTCCATTTTTTTCCCCCATTGAAATCAATGATCAAATAAGTAGGAGTGATTGGGAAAACTCAAAAGAACTATTGGATTTATATTTTAACTGATTAATTTTAATTCCATAACTTAAAAAAAATACCGCTCATATTCAATTATTGTTTGGATTGGAATCATCTGGCACTCTGGTGGTATAAAAGCAATAAATAAACAAATAAACAAATAAGGCTCCAATGTGTGGAGTCACACCCATTTGGAATACTGTGTCTAACTTCCAGGTCCATTGTTCAAAAAGGACAGTGACAAACTGGACCAAATTCCGAGGAGAACAAAATGGTTGTCCATTTACAGTAGGTGTTTTTTAAAAGAAAAGGAGAAAGTCATGGAGGATCAATCTGTCACGGACAACCTATGGAATTAAGATTAAACATTATTATTATTATTATTATTATTATTATTATTATTATTATTATTTTCAAAATTCCCAGGAAGCATGGCTTATGGCAGTTGAAGAATATTTATCTGGTCAGCACTAGCTTGAGAAAAAATCATCCCAATATATAGAGGGTGGAGGTTACTTAAAACTTAAATAAAAAGTTGTTCCACAATATAAAGAAGGGGTCAACTACATTTGGAGGAGAACAATCAAGAGGGGCCTGGAAATCAAACCCTATTAGCAACAGTAAAAGATGTGATATGTTTAGCCTACAAAAAGGATTAGGGGAGATATGAAAGCAGTCTTCAAATTTCTGTAAAGCTCTCACACAAAAGAACAAATGGATTTATTCTCCATTACCTGAGGACAGGACCAAAACCAATGGGTTAATACAAGGAAGCATGTTTAGGATAGACATCAGAGGAAATTCCTGAGTATAAGAGCTTTCAGCCACTGGAACAGCTGCCACAAAGTAGTTAAACTTTCCTTTGTGGAAATCCTCAGAGGCTGGATTATCATCTGTCCAAAATTTTCTTGTGGATTCTGCACTGAGCAGGGGGTTGAAATAGGTGGCCTCTAAGATCCCTTCCAATTCCATGATTCTGTTGAGTCTATGTATCTCAGGCAATTGTCCATTGTCACTCTCAAAAAGGCCTTGACATGTGATGATGATTAAGAGAGAAACTGATGCTTGTTTCAAATAAGAAATTGTGGGTAATCCATGAAGTCCAGACTTGCTGCCCAAGCCAAAGCACTTATCATTACATAATATCACTAAACATTAATTAAATGTTAATGTTAAAAATATTAATTTTTAAGGGTCAGAAATAAGCGTTTCAAGTGCACAAATATAAGAGAATAATCTGGCCCAATTCAGTTTGTTGTCAACTGGCAGACTGCATGAAGAAGAGCAGAGATTTATCATCTTGTTCTGTTCCTTGGTGATCATGCATTTCCTCTAGTTCCTCTTCTTCGTAGGGAACTATGCATTCTGTTCAGAGCCTGTAAATCTTAATTCTTTGCAGCAGGACAATTTGTGCTCAGTTTCAAATAAAGAACTCAACCATGAGAACTTCAGATTTTACCACTATACCATTACCAATATATTTGGAAATATTTTCCAAACAAAGCGATGATATTCATGTAACAGAGAAGGGGATAATCACTGAATGGCTTTTATTATCCTTGCAACTATGTAAACATTTTCTTTGTTTTGGTGTTTTATTTGTACTGACAAAGGCAAGCTGTCTTTCCAACTGGCCTTGATAATGTGCTTACTATGAGTTAATCATGCATTAAAGACTAAAGTCTTGAATCAAAGGATCTGTGAATGTTACAAATGGGCATGCCCAGCATTTTTATAAGTTTGGGAATGCCAAAGCAGCAGCTCACTGATTCTACTTTAATCAAGGTGAATGTCCCAAAAGAATACTTGTGTGAAGCTTCTATTCAAGAGAAAATGCATTATACTTGCTTTATTGCATTAGTGCTACTGGCTCTCCCAAGAGTATTTTACACACACATGCTGCCCTCTTTACTCCAGCACTGAAATACTGGGAGAAGGGTGCTCAACATGAGGAGCACAAGGAAAATTAAGCCCCTCACACAGGTGGCCCTTTTGATGTAAAGTATGGCTCCCTTTCCAGTCTAATAAATCAAGTTTGAGCATGTAACTTTCACTAGTGATAATTGGAAGGCCCAAGTCAGAATGAAGGCTTTGGAAAGCAATATTTAGCATGGAGGAGCAAAATGTTGAAGTAGGAAAACAGCAGAATTATCCATTCCTTTAATATATGCCTCACTGAAGAATGCATCAGGATAGTTGCTGTTCTACTGCCCAACATAAAATATAAATGCTCAGCTCTGGAACTTTATAAGGCAGGAATGGCAGGGGATGGGCAGGAGGGAGTCACAGGACATTGAGATTGGAGCAAACGATGGGACAACAGAGGGGCAGTTCACCTATCTAAGCCCTAATCCCATCATCCATCATATATTCCTTAACCTGAACTAATACAGATGCACTGCTCTCTTTCTCCCACCTTCCCATCTTATAAATACATATTTCTAAGCATATCTTTATTCAGCGAAGAGAGACAGGAACTAACAGCTAAAGTGCTTTGAGGTATAATTGTTCACAGTGCATTCCAGTTGTTAAAATGCAAATTAATATTCTTAGATTCAAGCATTCCATATTGAAAGACAGAATCAGAGCTAAGAACTAAAACTGAAGATCACATAAAATGCACGAATATATTTACAATCATTTTCCTATTATTATTACTGCTGATTTCACAGTCAACCAGAAGTTTAGATCAGATCTGGCATTTTTATCCACCTATCAAGGACCTGGGATACACAGATGTTGTTGTTTGATGGTGCTAAAGGTATTGTTGCAGGATGTTCCAAGTTAAGCTGCCTTTTGCAATTGGCTGATGGTGATTTTGTCAATGCTGATGGTCCTCAAGTGGTGCTCCAAATGTTTGAGGATTACACCCAAGGCACCTATTACTACTGGTACTATCTTTGCTTTCTTTTGCCACAGTCATTCTATTTCTATTTGCAGGTCTTTGTATTTTCTGATTTTCTCCAGTTCCTTCTCTTCTATTCTGCAGTCTCCAGGTATTACAATGTCCACTATCCAGACTTTTTTGTCTTTCTTATCCACAATTGTTAAGTCTGGGGTGTTGTGTAGCAGGTGCTTGTCTGTTTGAATTCTAAAGTCCCAGAGCACTTTAGCTTCTTCATTTTCTATTACTTTATCTGTTTTGTGGTCCCATCAGTTCTTGCTTGCAGGCAAATGGTATTTCTTACAGATATTTTTGCACCATTGTCGCTACTTTGTCATGCCGTTGTTTGTAATCAGTCTGTGCAATCTTCTTGCAGCAGCTAACTAGGTGGTCCACTGTTTCTTCAGCTTCTTTGCAGAGCAGCATTTGCTGATTGTTGCTGTCTCCTCGGTTCTGGCTTTGTGTGCATTTGTTCTTAAGGCTTGTCATGTACAGCCAGAATTAGTCGCTCTGTCTCTTTCTTCAGCTTTCCTACTCTTAGCCATTGCCAGGTCTTGTTATCTGCCTTGCCTGCCAGTTTGTGTGTGCGTGCATGTGTGTGTGTGTGTACTAGCCATGTAATACTTTGCTTTGCCATGTCTCTTTTCTATTCTTCATTTGGTCTTTCTTGTAGTCCAGCTTGGTCTTTTTAGTATTCAGTAAGCCTTCATGGTGTACTGGCTTCAGTGCATCTTCTTCACTGTCCTTCAGATATTCTTCTAGTGCCCTTTTTTCTTCTTCAATTGTCTGGTGTACTTGCAACATTCCATGCCCACCAAAGTTCCTTGGTAAGTAGAGTCTGTCAACATCACTGCGTGGGTAAAGGCCATGATTAATTGTCATTATTTTTCTGGTCTTCCTATCCAGGGCTCTTAATTCAGCTTGAGTCCAGTCCACTATTCCAGCTGTGTATCTAATGACTGGAATTGCCCAGGGGTTAATTGCTTTGATGGTATTTCCTCCACTGAATTTGGACTTTAAGATCTTCTTCGCTCTCATAATGTATTCACTACTAACCTTCTTGACTTCAATGCACTTGATGTTGTCAGCTTGAAGGATCCCCAGGTATTTGTAATGATCTTCTTCAACCAGACTCTTCATGTTATTTTTATAGGCCATCTTGATTCCTTCAGTTTTCACTATTTTTCCCTTGTTGATGATAAGGGTGGCACATTTGTCCAGTCCAAACTTCATTGCAGTATCTTGGCTTTATATTCAGACAGTGATGAGCAGTGATTCCATTTCAGATGGTGTTATTCCATACAGCTTCAGATCACCCATGTAAAGGAGGTGAGATAGCCTGGCAGAAGTTTTCGATGTTTGATAGTCGTGGCCTGATTTGTTCAGTATTGTTGACAAAGGAATCAGTGCAATGACAAACAGTAGTGGTAATAGTGAGTTTCCTTGAAAGATTCCTTTCTTGATATTAACCTCTCCCAGTCTATCACTGTTGACCAGCAACTATGTCTTCCATTGTGCCATTGATCTTTGTGCAAAGCTTCTGATGTTTCTACTGACTCCTGTTATTTCTATGCACTTGATTATCCAATCATGTGGCAAGGAGTTGAATGCCTTCTTGTAATCAATCTAAGCTACATTCAAGTTGGTCTTCCTTCCCTTGCAGTTTTCCAAAAACATCTTGTAAATTAAGAGCTGATCTTTTGTCCCTCTGCTGTTTGAGTAGTTTACTTTCTGCTCAGGTGGAAAGAGTTTGTTTTCAACTAGATTCTGTTGGACTGCATCAGCTACCACTCCAGTTAGCAATTTGAAAGTTGTTGGCAAGCAGGTAATTGGCATGTAATTGCCTTGTGCTGCCCCTTTTGCTGGATCTTTCATTATCATGTAGGTTTTGCAAGACATTAAGCAAATTTCAATTTCAACTCCTTGTAGTATCTTGTTAAACTGCTTGGCAATGAGTGGGCACAGACCAGTCAGATGTTTCAACCAAAAAACATGCAGTTCATCTTCACTTGGTGCTGACCAGTTCTTGATCTTCCTTGCCCTTTTCTGCTGTTATTACAAGTTCTTTCATTTCAGCTTCTTTTCTATTCTTATCTACCTCCTTTATCCAAGCTGCATTCTTCTTGTATTTCTTTGGGTTGTCCCATACCTACACCCAGAACTGCACTGTTTCTTCTTTGTCAGGTATCAACTGGTTCATTGCAGTCTTTCCACTGATGAATTGGTAGAAATGTTTCTGATTTGACTGAAATTGGATATTCTGCCTGTAGTGTTCAATCTGAGCTTCATATCTGCTGATGGCTGATGGCTGTTATTTGCTGCTTTATTATTTCCAGTACTTCTTTGATTTTCCTTGTTTCTAGGTGATATTTCTTGATCAGGTAATCTTTGGTCTTCTTGTTCTTCAGTTTCTTTTCTTTCATCTGTTCTAACTTGCTTGCATCTGATCTTAGCATGCCAGTCTTATTTGCCAACCTGATCTTCTATTTTGGTGGTGCACTGCTTGGCTTTTTTTCTTGTTTGTTGATTTTGCATCCAAGGTATTCAGTTATAACTGCAGTCATGCTGTACTTCTGGCAGGGCTTTGGTTTCTTTGCCCTGGGTAGACCTTTGCAGTTATTCCAATTCTACTTCTGTGAATACTTTATTTTGTATTATAAATCAGTGTTGATCTGCTAGCCTCTGTTCCGTTACTTCTGATTCTGGATGTTGTTCTTTCCAGAACTGGTGCATTCTTTCGAGATATCCTCTTCTTGTTGGACTTGATTTGTAATAGCAAATAATTATTTCTTTGTTTTCAGTCTTCGTATATTTGTGATGGGTAAACAACTTTTCTTCTGTAGTCCTGCAGCTGCTGGCCCTGGTTGTTCAGCCAACAGTCCTGAGTCCTGTAGGTCACTTGTCACCAGATGTCCAGGAACTAGAACACCTAGCACAGTCCTTGTTGACTGGGTTGCCAGGTGACCTGGTATGAGTTCCTGTAAATTACGTCTCACCATATTGTTTATGGGAGAGACACTCTTCATCTAACTCCTCTGATGAGACCTGTCCAGTATGGTTGATCCTCTGGCATAGCTCTCATCCTCCTTGGAGCACTCAAGCCACACAACCACATCAAGGTGGTACTACTACTACTACTACTATTATTATTATTATTGGAATCCTTCACCCATTGAGTAAGACCCTTCTACTCTTTCAAAAAATTTCAAACTATACCTATGAATATATGCCCCTTGCTGTTCTTGGTTTTGGTAAAGAAATTTCATAAGGTGGCAGGCAGATACCTTTTCAGTGATTTTCTTTGCCTGATTGAAACCATGGTGGGAGAATCTAGTGGAATTAATAGCAGCTTTTCTGGCATTACTGATTACCTTTCCCCTCACAATTTGGTCTGTTGCCTCTTCAGATGCTATAGGGCCTTCATTAGGCCTGGTGAAATATACTGCCCACCTTCAAGAACTCTCTTGAAAATGTTTCAGGCTAGCATTTCTATGTTACATTATAGGCAGCATGTCAAACCCATAATTTTGAATATCTGCACATTATAACTATCATTTCTAGGGAAGGATAGGCCCTGAAATAAACACTGTAATTTCCTGGGGACCAGAGCAGAACTAGTTAGAGACACTCAGCCTCTCCAGAGCTATCAAGAATGCATGTCTTGAAAAAGAAAACAAGCCTGCTTGGATTCATTCATCACAGTTTGATTAACCATGACTTCCTAAAGTCAATGACAAACAGGACACTTTCCTGGAAAAAGGAAATAGGAACCTAGCCTTCATTATGGGACATAGAGGGCTGTGATTCATTCTCTCTTTCTCTCTCTCTCTCTCTCTCTGTCTCCCAAATCCCCTCCCCCCATGGGGGCAAACTTGTGCTGTTTCCTGAATCATCCTCCAAGGACTAACTACTCCCAATCTGTATAACAAGAAAGGTAAACAGTTGACAAAAATTTCTAAGTGACATTTCTAGCATTTCTTACATGAGTTTTGGAAAGAATTTGGGGAATGTAACTTTTTTATTCAGTGAGGAAGCAAGAGACTACACAGTGGTTAGGTTTACACAACGTTACTCCACAATGTGCTTTTTTTTTTTTTTGTCTAGAATGTTGTTGGAATACAGTGATGGAGATTTGATGATCATGGCTTAAAATATTGTGAGAACCAGGTAGTTACAGTATATTGAATAAACCATATTTTAAAAACCATGGTCTAGTGTGATATGTGAAAAATACAAATCCTCAAGTCCAGGAAATAATATTTTGCTACCTCAGACTTGTTGGAAAATTACTGTAATTTCCACTTTAGTTTGCATTCAGCACACTCCCCATCAATCCCTACATCCAGATTGGAGTGAGCACATATACCACTCAATACAGCTAGCAAAAGTATAGCTGGAGGTTTACTTATTAAACGTCAGCAAACCTTTAAAAAGTTAACTGCCCAAAATAGGACAAAAGACAGGCAAAAACAAGGAGAGAGAAAGACATGAGCACAAGCAAGAATGTACATAATCTATCTATATCTATCTATGTCTATCAAAAGGTACAGAATTTCCCAGAGCCCCTGGAAACAACACTATGGACAATTAGCACAGGCAGTCCCAAAGGAAGGGGCTCTTAGGTATTCCAGCTTTAAGCCTTTTAGGTACAGAACAGCAGCAGAAGAGAAATGGAAAGTAGGACTGCTCCTCTAATTCTGCACCATGAAGGAAACAGTTTGATGGACGGGGATAATGTATCCAACAAGACTAAGAAGAAATGGTACTTTCTCCACAGCCTCTTCATGGCACATACAAAACATGGCTTTAAATCTTAAATCCAACACTGATGAAAAGATGTGCTCTCCACTAAACTTGAAAGTGGAGGTTAGGGGAGGGCAGGGCAGGGCAGGGAGCACATATAATTCAACCTATTCCACATTTTCATCATCTGCTGCCTGTTACTGTTGCCTGAGTAGCCTTGTTACTCAGCCTAACAGTGAGGTCACCCCTGAAAATCCTTTGCTTGCACCTACAGACAAAAAATAAATACACACAAACATTTGAAGGAGAGCAATACCTCAGATGCTGCATGAAAATGACAATCCTAAAGAACTAGAGTTACAATCACGAAAGGCATAAAACATTTCTGCTCATTCATAGCATCTGTTTCACACTTTTAGAAAGCCCTGAAGGAACTCATACTGAAGAAGATATACCTTCACAATTTCTTCGCCATCCACAATCTTCAATTTTTCTAAGTTCTCCTTCAAGAGCTCAGGTTTCATTCGCCACTTCAAAAGGCCCAGTAAACCCACTACAGAAAAGAGCAGGAATATATTCAGGTACAAAAAGATAGAGATTACCTTTCAAGCACAACATAAAATATTTAGTTTGAAGTTACATTTTTACCATTTTGGGTTAGCTTAGTTGAGCAAATGAGAGTTGAAATGGCAAAGGAATCTCTTGAGCTTACAGAGAGCCCTCCGACAATGCTTGCGCTCCGACTTAAGGTTGAGATTTTAGGCTCTGTTTGACTGCGGGTTGAAGGGAGGCTCAGGTACATGTTGACATCTTCCATTTTCTTACTATCACCCTTGAAAACAATGCATGAATGAGATTCACTGATATCAGATTAAGCAGAACTGCTATGATTTTGCAACACTCTTCCACTACAAACTCCTGCCTCCACAATACCACACACACTCTTACATGACAAGCCACATTTGAAAAAATATGTAATGAGACATGAGGAAGCAGAGGTCTGCAGTTGATAAAGAAGAAAGACACCACTGAAAGCACATAAGTCCTTGCACATATTGGAACAGTATGCTGATGATACCCAGTTGTACTTCTCCACCTGGGCTAATCAAGCAGTGCCACCCAGGTCCTCTCCCAGTGCCTGGATGCTATGAGGATCTGGGTGGGGAAGAACAGCCTTTGACTCAACCCTGGCAAAACCTAGTAGCTGTGAGTTTTAACTCCCCGCCTCTGGTTCTATCTCTAACTCTGCCTGGGCATGCACTTCCCAAGTCAGAATTGGTGTGCAAATTAGGGATCCTTCTGGACTTACAGCTCCTGCTTGAAGAGCAGGTGGCAGCTGTGGCTAGGAGGAGTTTCGGGCAGGTTCAGTTTATGCACCAATTACGCCTCTTTCTGGATTGGGAGGACTTGCTCATGGTAACTCATGTGACCTTCCATTTGGATTACTGCGATGCATTCTAAAGAAGCTGCCCTTGAAGAGCATTCAGAAGCTGCAGCTGTTGAGAATGCAGCAGGGTGGGCAATTTTTGACATCTTTTGCTATGCCCATGTAACACTGCTGCTCCAAGAGCTGGACTGTTTCTCAGTAGGCTTCTGGGTGCAATTCAAGGTTCTGGCTGTCACTTATAAAGCCCTGAATGGCATAGGACCAAGCTAATTGTGGTACTGCCTTTCTCCCATTGTTTTTGCTCAACCCACCAGATTGAGCAGAGAGGGCATGGTCTGTGTTCCTTCTATTAAATAATGTCATTCTGTTGGACCCAGGAGTCATGCCTTCTCTGTGTCAGCACCTGCTCGTGGAACAGCTTCCCCCCAGAGATCTGGAGGGCCCTCTGTTTTTATATATGATAACTGCAGCAAGACTTTTATATGCTCAAAGCTGGAAAGACTTGATATTACTTACAATGGAAGAATGGAGGGTGAAGTTGATGGAATTAGCTGAGATGGCGAAATTGACAGCTTTGCTTAGAGAAAAAAACTGACTAATTTTAATGCTAATTGGAAGCCCCTTTTGGACTTTTTGTGGGAAACAGAAAAAAATGAAATTATGATATATGGATTTGATGATTAGTAAAATCAATAGATTATAGAAAGATAGATGTTAAGTTATAATCTTAGAGTAAGAGTTCAATGTATGTTTTACTTATATCTGCTGTAAAAAAAGTCAGAAGTCCTTTTTTTTTAGTTGTGTTTCTTCTTTATTTTTCTGCACTTCTGCTTTCCTTCTTTTTCTTTATTCTTTCTTTTCTTCTATTCTTTTTCTCGATTAATTAGTTCTTGTTAGTTTTTATCTTTCTGATTTTTTTTTTAATTTAATAAAGTTATTATGAGAGAGAGAGAGAGAGAGAGAGAGAGAGATCCAGAGGGTCCTGACCCTATTTTCCTTTCATAAGGCTCTGAAGACCTGGCTATTTCCCAGGCATTTGGACTAGGAGATTAAGCTATCCCTGTTGTTGATGTGTTTTTTATCATTAGAAAGTGTCATTTACCCAGGGTGCCATGGGTTATTGTTTTAATTGTTGGGATCTTTGTATGCTGCCCATGATCACTGTTGAAAGATGGGCTACCACATAAATTATTTAAATAAATAAATTTAAATAAATTACATAGTTTAGCATATTTAAGTTATGCTTACACAGTTAAAGGGGCTTTGCTGTAATGAATACATTTTCAAATGTTTTGCTATATTAAAACAAAAGTACTGTAAAAAAGTGAGAAACCACAAGGTTATTAACTATTAAAGGCCTAAAGGAATTGCAGCTGGGTTAACTGAAAGACCATAGCGATACTTGCATTAAACCATTTCACTGGCAGATCCATTCCACTGCTGGCCCCAAGCCACCCTGCCACAGAACAGGCATTAACTAATCATAAAATAGAATAAAGTCACACTGTGTAGATTAAGGAGAAGCAGTTAATTAATCTAGGCTATCACTTTCTTTTAAAATGCCCAAACTGCCCTTTAATGCCAGTATCACACTTTAAATTGGGTAAGAGAATCAATAGACAGCAAATGTAAGTAGTACAGAATTACTCATTATATTAGCATCTTTACCTTTTTTGACACCTCTTTAACCATAGCTCAATGCAATAATCCAATCTGGTCATAACAAAAGATATATCATTGTTGTGAGATCTGCTTTCTCCAGGTAAATTTCCTTCTCTTCAAGGAAACTTTGAGAATACCCATTAATAGATTATTTCTGAAATGAAACCACTCTGCTTGCATTCAGGCTTGTGACCAGTCATTTAGACTCTAGGACTATGTGGAGCAGCAATGCTTCACTTAGTATGGTTGACTCCACTCCAACTGCTGGAGTAATCTACTTCAAATCAGTGCCTCAGGGTGTTCTGCCTTTACACCCCCTATTGAAAACATCAAGACAGGGCATTTTGCTTCAAAGAAAAGTCAGTCAAAAGCAAGCAGCTGATTCAGCGCAGCATAGCAGCCTCATTGTGACACTCAGAAACTGGACACCACTTTGCTCAAAGTGAAACACTTCTCCTTTCCTTTTTTACGTGTGTGTCAAGGGTATGCTGTAGAACCACTGTGCCAAAACCACTGAAACCATAGGCATAGTAGTTGTTATTACCTCTGAAGGGATGAAAGTTGCAAAAGTCAAAAAATTGAGCTAGTTGCTAGAAGTGTTTGAGGATAGTTGGATTTTTTTCAGAGTAAATGTCAGCTGCAGCACTTGCACTTGCTGTAAATGCTTGACTTTTACAGCCAAATACATTCAATCTGTCATACCAAGCCACTGGACACAGTTTTGCACTCTGACATATATTCTCATTGATGGAGAAATCAAAGTCAGTGATTGTCCTCTGGAATCCCCATCTCCAGAGTTTAGACAGAGAATGGACGTTAAAGAGGCCTTTCCATCAATTGTATGCAAATTATGGAATATTCCCTAATACGCTCAGCTAGCACTAACTCTTCCATCCTTTCTGCTGGTCAGTATTTTATTTTATTTCTTTATTTATCATAAGACTCTCAGTGATAAATGATTAGCCTTTTATTGTCAGCTTCCACAGACTGAGACTGTTTTGCCATTATACTTTTCAAAATAAAAATAGATTTCCTATTCCTATAATAATTGAAGTCGTAATGGAACACCGTGTAACGTAACACCCTATGGAACACGCTTCCCCTTGATATCCGGTTGGCCCCTACCCTTTTAACCTTCTGGAAAGCCATGAAGACTTGGCTTTTCCCCCAAGCATTGGGATAGGGTGAAGCTGGAGTTGGAAGACAGTGCTGTGTGTTGCATCAAGGGAATTTGGGTGTGGCACCAGGTTTTTGCTGTTTCTGTTCTTATTGCTTTTTATTTTTAATTTTGTATGATGTTGTTTTTATACTGTGGTCGTGAGTCACCCAGAGTTCTGGTTTTGAGTTGGGCATTCATGCAAGTATTTTAAGTAAATAAATAAATAATATGATTTGGGTGAGGGTTTTTTTCTCCTATATAAAAGGACATTGGTTTTCGTGAACTCTGCATATAATATTTTAAAAACAAATAAATAAATCTTGTGTGCAAACATACAAGTCCATGTATATGCTTCCTCTGTAAGTTGCTTCTACAAGCTATGTTGCTTTAAAACAGGGAGTATTATTAAAAGGAGAAGGAAGAGGATGAGATAAGTAAATTGATTTACTTTCAGCCACAAAGATGAACATTTCTTTCATATTTCTGTATGACCTTTCCAAATATATCAATCAGCTGAAGATGTAGCCCATATGAGGGTCAACATCAGCTTCAGGAGTTAACAGAAATTTTTCACCATTTGTTGCCCATCTGTGATCTACTGTCTGGATTTCCCCAAGATGAACCATGGTTTGTTTATTGATTTGTACAACATGCTGAGACTTAAAACCATGGTTTTTTCAGCTCTCAGCATCTTTAATATTAAAAATCAGCTGTTCTGCTAACTTAAGAGAACATCATTTCAAACACAGTAAGCCACTGAGTTTTGGAGAAGACTTGTAATACCTGCATAATAGAACATTCTAGTCCTCTGAGTATAAGCCAGAGAAGTCTAAAGAGCTTTGAGAGTAAAAATATGTTTACACATTGCACATTGTTTGACATCATACAACACAACAAACCAAATTCAGACAAAGTATATTATGCCAGAGCAACCTTCCTTAGAGTGTATTATGATATTTTGATAGCCCAATAGGAAGTTGCCACTGGATTCAGCAAAACCAAATCAATGCAGTAAGGTAAGACAGTGTACCTTTAAAACTGTCAGTTCATGAATGCCATCAAGCAGAGTTGTCCCATCTTCCTTCATTAATTTTACGTAGGCCATTGCAAAGTTCTTTTCTCCTTTGTCTTTAGCTGAACAACCCAGAATTTGGTATTAATTGTTTTGGTCAACTTATTTAATTTTGCATATTGAAACCAAGGAACAAAGGAGGTTACTTACACTCCAAAGATGACCGATGCCTAAACATAAAACGCAAATGAATTCTTTGCATATCCTCAATGGGTAAGGCTACCTATTGAAAGAAACAGCATTTGAAATAAACAGCAACTTGGATTAAATAATAAAAGCAATGCATGCAAGAAGGCTGGAGAAAAGTCTTACAATTTTGAAACAGGACTGTCAAAATCTATCCATAGAAAGAGATCAGCTATTCTCATCAGAGACAACTCTTATGTACAACGATTTTTAAGCTCTGTATTTTATCATACACCACCTTAGAATTCTTAGCAAGTATAAATCATTACACACCTGGATATATGACTTGGAAGGACTTTTGCATTTCACTGCCAACTCATATCTTGGATATAACTACTATTGCATTCACCATTATATATCTCTATCTCAGATTTGCCACTGAACACAATCATATAACTAACATATTTTGCTTTGATGTCCCAACACCATATGACATCTTCTAATACATATATTATATTTGTATCAGACCACGTGTGTTTGGGCTGTGCTGAAAACTGGAACAGACTTTGGAATTAGATGATCCAAAAGCTGTTTAAGGAACATATACATATTTTATTATAAATTTAACTTGGATTCTATTATATTGCATCATTTACAAAATGATTCCTACTTTGGTCACAGAAGTCTTTGAAGTCATGGGAAATTAATTTGCTTTACTCCTCTAGAAGATATTTTAATATGTCTGTCCTCTATAGTGTTCTGTCTTTAACAGAAACAGATTTGCAATAAACTTTCTTAGTTTACAGCCATCTGTAATTATTTCCATCACATGTTCCCTAGAATTTGTTTATTGCCCATTATATACAAACTACAGTAATAGCTACTAATTTATTCACCTGCAATTAGGACAAATTTATATATCCGTTCCATTTGTTCTGCATTTTATTAATTTCCTCAACTTTTTCAATTATGTATTTATACTGCCCTACTGAAATAAAGCATATACACAGCACAACTATATAATTATAATTATTGTTTTCATTTCCATGTAGTCTGTCTTGCAGGATTGAAAGAAGTTAATTGAATAGCTTTAAAACATCTTTTAATGCATACATAAACATTCTGAAGCTTGGATTCCTTAGCTCTGTTTCTCAGAGGCCATCATTTAGCATAATCAGCAATATTAATAGTTTGTCTTAAGATTTTAAATGGAGAGACCACTTCTCCTTGTCGTACCTTTAATGTCTCCATCCAACGGGGTTGTTTGACTTGATAGTAGACAACTGACTTGTATTCATTCACAGGTTTGTCTCCAGCCCCTAAGCAAATCACATTCTGTCCAAAACAGAAAAATAGAAGGGAAAGATGCTGCTTCCTAGTTCTTATGACTTTTTCATCACAAATATATTTTTCTATTCCCACCTATTCTGGTCCTTGGAATTAGTTTCTTATTCCAGAAAGGGAGAAATGTATGATCTAAAAATGTACAGTCTACAGCATTATTTCCCAACCATGGCAACTTCCAGTTGGCCATTGATGAAAATTCTAGGAGTTGGTCCACACACCCAGAAGTTACCAAGGTTGGAAAAACTGGTCTAGAGGGCAGATAGCTGAAAATTATAAGATTAAGTAAAATTATTCAGGGTCAACATTAATACTTAGAACCTATTGCACATGGAATTTTATAGGGCCATCTACTTGCCTTTGATCTCCTAGTCTAGTTTTTATTTGTTAGTGGGTGATTGTAATTCATTTGTCAGTTCTCTAGTGTTTCAGATGCTATGTCATCTGATATGTGGGGAAAGTTTAAAAAGATGGCCAATTAAAAGCCAGAATTGCTCCTTCCCATTCCTGGGCATAGAATTGGGTGCTAGAGATCTCATCAAAGCTGGCCTATCTTGATACTTGATAAGGGAACAACTACAGTTACCCTAACTGCTTAAAACTGAAAAGTTTAAATTTTACAGTAATTCCTATGCAACATGCATACTTTCACTTATTTGTTTGTGTATATGTATATGTATATAGACACACACTTAGATATGACTCTGAGCATCTTACACTCATGTAATCTGCAAACAAGATTAAAACCATAGAAATAATAAAATAATCACAACCACATAATATCAACATCCTCTCTATGCATCAAGGAACACTTAAAATGGAGAAGAATTAACCTCATACCATATCATGCCCAAAGCCTGGTGGAACAACCAAGTTTAAATGGCTTTTCCACTGTAAATCCCAAAAGGTGAGCAATGATGGAGAAGGTCTGCGTCTGTGGTCTCTGCTGATGACATTCATTCCTTGACAGAAGATACCTCAAGGGAGCCCATTCTTCTGATCTTATCAGATTGGTAAATACCACTGGAATTAGGTGATCCTAATGATACCCAGGTCTTGAACACTATATAAAGCTTTAAAGATGACAACTAGGAGTTTGAATTGCACCCAGAAGCCAAGTGGTAACAAATGTCGTTCTTGAAGCAGAGGCGCTATATGGGTGAACTATATAACTATTTCAGCCACTGCATTCTTGACCAGTTGTAGCTTCCAACTGGTCTTCCAAAACAGCCCCATGTACAGCACATTGCAATAATCCAAATGAGAGGCGACCAAGGCACAGGGGACTTAGAGTAAGGTCTCCTGCTGCAGGAAATATCAGAAGTAGTACATAAAATAAAGCTGTGTGAAGATCCTCCTAGCCACAGTTGCCATTTGCTTTTTTAGCAGGAGCCGTGAGTCCAGGAAGTCTCCCAGATTACAGACCAAAAGTACATGTGGAAGCATGACCTTGTCCACAGCTAGAGGTGGATTATCTCCAGAATTCAAGGGCTACTATATCCACAGCCACTCTGTTGTCCTGGGATTTTGTCTAAGCCTGTTTCTTCCCAGCCAGACTTTAACAGTCTCCAGGCACCATAATAGTACCTCAGCCACATCATCTGTTCAGACCAAAGTTGAGATGTACAGTTGGATGTCACCAGCTTACTAATGACTCTTTAAGAGTTTCTTATCATCCTGGAGGGAAATACTGAGGGAGGTGCTACAAGGTACACTGCTGCTTCCTGTATACTTCAACATATTAATTAATTAATTAATTAATGGCAAATGGTATGACAGTGGGTGAGATAAGTAACACCAAAAGATAGAAATAAAATTATAAACTATCATAATAAGTTAGAGAAATGGACTGAAAATAATACAATGGCATTTAACAAGGCAATTGCAGAATTCTTCAGTTGAAAAACAGACATCAAACAAACAGGTTTAGAATGGGGAATACCTGGCTAGGCTATAATGCTTGGGGGGGGGGGGAACTGAGGAATAGGTTTTGAGTATAAAATAAATATGAGTCAGCAGCATAATGCAGCTGCAATTTTAGGCTATGCAAACCCAAGTACGGTTACTAAATCACAGGGAATAATAATCCCACTTTATTCTATCTGGTCCACCTGCTGCCTCTCCACCTCCTTGAGCATTGGGTCCTGATTTAGATATGATGCTTTACGAAGGGCGGAGAGAAATTAGAACATGTTCAGAGAAGGACCACTAGGATGATTAGGGACTAGAAACTAAATCCTGTGAAAAGAAATGGAAGGACTTGGGAATGTTTGGCTTGGAGAACAAAAAGTAACTCATGTGCCAGCCCTGCAGATAAATAAAAATAAACATGAAGTTGAAGAATGGTGTCCAGGGAAAGAAAAGAATGAATAACCTTTCACAAGGTGTCAGTCATGTTGAATCCAAGTTGGAGCCAGTAGGTGAATTCTATGAATAGAAGCCCATTCATTCTATTCCTGCTTTCTAGTAAAATGGGCCTACCTCTCTTTCTTCCTTGGAAGGGTAACTACATTATCATAGCCAAGGGAGAAAAAAAGCTATATTTTTCCAAAATCCTCTCAAACCTGGCACCAGACTCATTCAATGATAATGGTAATGGCCATAATGGTGTCAGCATTCATGGGCATGCAGCCAAGGAGGATATTAAGAGGAAGGAAAAATTTGGCACAGTAATGTTTGAGGATCTTGATAGTTACAGAACTAACTTCCTATTCTTTCTTCCTCTTTTAACAGTTCTTCAAAATGTGTGTGTGTGTGTGTGTGTGTGTGTGTAGGTAGGTAGGTAGGTAGGTATGCATGTATGCATGTTTCTATGTGTATATGTGTGTGTGTGTGTGTGTGTGTGTGTGTGTGTGTGTGTGTGTGTATGGATAGATGATGGATGGATGGATGGATGGATGGATGGATGGATGGATGGATGGATATACTTTCAATTGAGCAGGATTTTATATTT